AAGGTAAGAAGATAAACGCGGCAGAGCTAACGAGCCCGTTGGCGCGCAACCTAGTAACGTGACGTCGAACTTAAGGCTAGCGTCAGCGTCTAAATAACAATCTACCGTACCTGAGCAAGGCTTACCTGCGCTCAGACGGTCAGACCTCTGCTAAAAATATTACTTCATCTTAAAACCTTTGTGACCTCTACTCAGCTCATACGTTTACGCTCATACGCTCAGACGTTTTCCTTGTATGCGTATGTGTGCTCGTGTTCATGTGTCGCATACGTACACGAGTGTGACGTCGGTCAAGATGACCGAACATGCGGTAAACAATCTACCGTACCTGAGCAAGGCTTACCTGCGGTCAGACGGTCAGACCTCTGCTAAAAATATTACTTCATCTTAAAACCTCTGTGACCTCTACTCAGCTCATAAGTCGTTTTCCTTGTATGCGTAATGCGTATGTGTGCGTGTGTTCATGTGTCGCATACGTACACGAGTGTGACGTCGGTCTTACGCGATCTCCGTATGCTGTAATGTGCAGCGATGCCCGAGACGCATCAATGTTGTGTGAAGGATAAACATTATGCAACCTCTGTCGGCCGGGTCACCGTCCTGTTCGGACGGCGAGAATAAGGCAGCAAGTGACACGTTGGTGAAAACCTCTGTCACGTCTCTTATTCTGTGACCATGGCAACCGAACACGTTATCTCGGGATTTACAATAACTATCAGGGCTAATTGGTACGTGAATTCCAGTGTAATTATTACCTCTTAGCTGGATAACGCAATTGTAACAGTCCTGTTACCACATGAGGATAACGGTAACGAAGCAGTATGTATCGCCATTTATTAATGTTACCGCTTTACCACAATTATGTCATTGGGAATTCAAGCGAGTTTACGCCAGTGTGCGCCATTTGTGGTTGATTAAAAAGAATCGTCACATCCACGTTGTTATGCGCAGCTCCGAAACCCATCATGGCAGAACTTTCAGGCTGTATTGTAAAAAGTTGAACAATCCGTTGCTAGCTGAACTTTTTGTATGTTGCGGACGTGGTCTCTGATGGGCTCAAGCCGCCGTTGATACGCCTGAGCAGAAATACGTGGTTTTTTCTTCAAAGATAGCACACTCGCCGCACCTCATTCTATTGTGTGACCACGAGCTCTATGCGGCGTTGGAGAGTCACGTGCGGCACGGTCTTATCGGTAGCTCAATGGTGCGGCCGAGTAGACACGGAGCACCTGATAGGCGTGCAAGTTTCTGCTTGTACGGAGTTTGAAAAAGTTAGCATGTCAAAACTTTGTACTCTGCAAACGTATTGGCCACCTTAGGCACAAATTCTACTCCAGTTTGCAAACAAACAACATGTCGTTATTAATTTAATTATGGCGTGAAAATGTATGACTCGCGTTGACCGCGGAATTTACAAAAATAGTTATTGCGCATTCCAATAATAATTACACCATTATTTCTAACAGATGACGCAAAAATATATTATCCGATCGCAATTTCCCCATTATTGATTAAATTTATTTCAGGATTATTCTCTTTTTATTTTTCCTCAAATTGCGTCATGAGTTTAATCAACTGCAGTGCCTAACTTACAAAAACTCGTATCAGCGGGCCACTATATAACGCCCTTAGGTCCCTCCCGATTTTTATAAGCTCATCGAAAGCCGCTCCGTAAACACGTCCTTCCAGAGCAACACCGTGACCCCCGCCAATATCAACGTCGACTTTCTATGTAAGTATCCAGTATTTATTTTAATGACTTTATGCATTTTTATGTACTCCTGCGCATTCCTTTCAGGGAAGGCGGAGCTTTTTAACGTCTGACTTTAATATTTTTTTCTTTTTCATTTACAGTTACGCCATCGTGGATCCCAATGCTCTCCAGAATGAACAGTTTGCTGGTCTTGATGACTTTGGTCCTGATTGCGGACGCGAGGCCAGAACCTATGCCGGTGTTGCCCTGTCGCCCGCAAGACGTGAGTATATCATTTCTACAAACTGATATCACATCCAAGTTTCTTTATAGTGTTGCAACTTCTGAGCAAAGAGTTTAGCGCGTGACCCAACCCTCCGGAACGTTTTGTAAAAGCTTCAACGAAATTAATGTCAATTTTTCAATTTACAGTTCACCGATCCCACGAGGTCCCGCTGCCGATTCGGGCTCCCGGCAGGTGAACACCACGTCGTCAAGAAATCCCGGGTCTTGGGGACCCGAATTGGATTTCTCAGTGGCCCGGACCTGAACACATACTGGTAGTTTTAAACTCCATGAATAGGCTGGACAGTGTTTAAGATGTCGGTTGTGTTTGATCTGTAAACCGTGCGGTTTATAATTTTGCTTATTGTAATGCTTTGTTTTTTTTGTACTTTTCTAAATAAAGATTATATTGTGCAATACTTGTTGGTATCATTGACATAGAATAAGCTGACGCGACAATGCGTCTAGTAGGTATCCCAACTCACGTATACACCTGATAGGTCGCCATCAGTCCGTTAGCAGGCTGCAGGCGCGTTCAGGGAGTCGCTATCTGCGCTGTAAACACAAACGCTACCAGCAAATAATATACCTATAGGTAGCATTTTTCGCGCTAATAGCGACTCCCCGAACGTAGCCTGCATGTGCATTGAATGTGCATCGGACTGACGTGCAGGCATAGACGTCACGCTGCAACTTGTGCAACAGTTACTGCACTGTAATGGGTCCAGCGTATCGGCTTAGGAGTTAACATCGTTGTATGATAGAGCATGGCTCGTGACTTCAAAAATACCACCCCCCCCCTTCCGCTACCCTGGAGCCTTAACTCTGAAGTTAGAGTCCGTAGTGGGCTCTTGTGTCGCGCTGACCGTATCGGTAGCCCGGTGGTGTGGCTGAGACACGAAGCATCTAGTTAGCACGTAAGGTCTTGGACGGGGTTCATGAAACTTAGCATGTCAAAACGTATGCACTTTGTAGTGTTCGATTATTGTCCACATTAGGTACAAACTCTATCTACTCCGGTTTAAACACAAACAGTATATGACTAAATAAATCTTAATCAGTTATACATAACTGGAAAGTACTTTGACATCAGAATTACAGGAAAACCAATATAATCGATATAAAAATTAACGCTGTTGTTAATTTTATTTGACGATTATTTTATATTTAATTACCGCGAATTGCGCCAATGTAGTTTCATATTTCTGATCATTATCCTGAAACTGTTATCGATAGGCTATTATAAATAGCGATCATTTCTAGTGGAAAGCATTAGCTCATAAACAGCCACGGCGTGAATTAGTTCGTCCAGAGCAACACTGTGACCGAAGACCTGGACGTCAACGTCCGTTTCTTTCGCCATTCGCAGCTACTAGATCGTGACTGCCAAAGACTGCAAAATGCCCAAGATGCTAAGAAGTGAGTATTTCTACAAACTCATATCAACGTTATTCTGAGCAAAAACGTTATCGTGTGCGCCAACCCATCGGAACGTCTTGTGAGGTCCAACAGAATTAATTACAATTTATCTGTTTACAGGTCGTCGATCCGACCGGATCCCGTTTGACGAGAGCACAGAAAGCCGACACAATACCGACCCGACACTCCCACGTCGTCAAGAGACCATGGCTGATGGGGACCTGAGGAATTGGATTCCTCGGTGGCCTGCCAGATCCGAATTAATACTAAAGATTTTAATTATCACAAGTACCTTCATACTGTTTGAGATAGTCATGACATGTCCTTTGTCACCTGTGCGGTATTTAGGTTCGCTCATTATAGCGATGCTTTTTCTTTGTTTTACTTTTTAAAATAAAAATTATTATGTATACTTGTTGGTTTCATTGACATAGAATAAGCTGACGCGACACCGCGTCCAGTAGGTATCCCAACTTACGTATGAGCTAAGGTCACGATCGGCGCTCTAGCAAGCTGCATGTGCACTGAATGTGCATCGGACCGACGTGCAGGCATAGACGTCACGCTGCAGCTTGTGCAGCAGTTGCTGCACTGTAATGAGTCGAGCATAACGGGTTAGGAGTTAACATCGATGCATGATGGAGTTGTGTCTCCTGATCTCAAAAATGACACCCCCCTCTACCCCTGACCCCTAATTTTGAAGTTATAGCCCGTACGTTCTCGAGTAACTGACTGTACATCATCATGCGTGGGATCAATGCGTTGGCGTGAACATGACTGTACAGACGGGATAATGGAATGAAAAAGGTAGGAAGTGGGGAAATTAAAAGAGGTTAGCGCACGGGTATTAATTCAAATAAGAGATACAATATGTAGAAGAATGTATTTTTAATAAATAAAAAATTACAACTACCGTTATAATATTATTTTCAGGATAATCTAAATTACATTTAAGTTTAATACAACACGATAAAACTAAATTTACAAATTCAATTTAAATACCTAAGAAATGTATCATATTACAAGTTGAAGTCTTTCTGTGACATTAGTAATACATATAGCAAGCATGGACTAATTATACTAATAGTAAACGTTAAGAAAAGACAAGTTTACAATATCAATTATATCTATGAATCACAGGATTCGATTGTATTAGAAATTCAATCCAAAGAACCAGAAAATTATATTTTTATTATTCAATATTGACCTTAATTTATTTCCTAGCGTGTGATCAGCAGTTAATTCTGGAAAGTAGGAAGGGTTTCCCAAAATTATAGTGATAAGTACAAAAACAAATATTACAAATTGCTATAATTTTTGTAAAACTTAATTATAAATCGCTGTAAATTTGGGAAATATGTTTACAAATCTATGCAATCAACACAGAAACATGTTTATATCAAATTTGAAAAACATTGTGAACAAATCCACAAATCCCCCTTTTGTTGCAAAGGGGAAAATGTTGTCGATTTCCATTTTGAAATAACTAGAACTAAATAAACGCATACTTCCTCTGATCAAATGGGCTTATTTAAACTAAAACCATTGCTTTGATTTAGAAACTATGACTATCATTAGAGTGGTTTTTAAAATTACGTTTGGTCTATAAATTCTCTCCATATTCTAAAGTCCATGCATATCCTGCATTTGGATCACCGCTTTTTTCTGCTTGTTTTTGTATATTTTCCGTTTTCTTTAGTATATTTTTAACATTATCGTATAATTTTGCATCGTTTGGCACAACTCTGGCATCTCGCAGCTTTTCTGATCTTTCCTGGAATGATCCTGTTTTGCCAAAACGTTCACGAACGAATCTTTCATACAAATCTTCATGATCTTCTTCATCTTCCGCCACTTCTTCGCCTTCATGATCCTCTTCATCTTCTCTACGACCACCTTTTTTCTTTTTGTATTCCTGTTTTTTATTTTCTTTCCCATAGTATCCATAATAACTATGGTCATCATTATCACTTTCATCATCATGGTTTTTGTAAGACTCTTTGTTTGGCTTTTCAGTACCCAATTCATCACTGTATTGGTAAAATCTGTCTTTTTCCTTGTCATTTTTACTATGATAACTTGGCTCTTCATACTCATAATCTAAAACGTCATCAGGTAGTTTTATTGTTGGCAATTTAATACCAATATCATCGAATTTAAACTTCAAGTGTTCGTCGTAATTAACATCTATTGGTTTTAAAGAATCTAGACTTCCTTCATTAACAGGATTATTTAGAATATTATCTGCTGTTTTAGATTCATCATTATTTTTCACCTTCTGGTCATTCGCTTTTTCATTTTCATTTTTGTGTTTGTAATTTACAGGAATTCTTTCAAATTCCTGCTTTACATCACCTTTTTCGTCTCCCTTATTATCAGAAGTAATCTCTCCACTTTTTTCATTTACATTTTCTTTTGTACCAAGAAGAGTTTCTAAACTTTCATCTTTTTCCGCTTTTAAGGCTTGGCTTGTATTTTCTTCAGGCGATTCATTATTATCACTATTTAATTCTACTACTGGTTTTATTTCTCCATCATTTATGTGTACAGGTGGTCTGTCATTTTCATATTTATGATTGATCGGTTCCACTACTTCTTCTGCTGATGCTGATGATATTTGTTCACTCGATTGAGGAGTTTCTGTTTTTAATTTGGACTGAAGAGTTAGTGATTTTTTATTATCATCAGTTTCACCTGCTGTTACTACTTGCCCTTTGTCGTCGATTTTAATTCTCTCAAAGCTAAAATCACCAAGGTCAACGTCTTGAATAGAGGTTGGTTTATCATGTGTACTGTTTGACAACTTATCGGAGACATAGTCTTTGGTTTTATCGTTAGGTGTTTGAGTATCATTTTGAATTTCAGAACTATTTTCTTGTGATTGTTTTGTATTTTTTTGGGACTGTCTGTCATCATACCGCTCACCCGATTCTTCGCTATATTTTGATTTTTCACTATTTTTATATTGTTTATCATTTTCTGCGGAGTTTATATTTTCACGACTTTCTTTTGACTCATCACTATGCTTTGAATATCTTTCAGAATCTCTTTCATTACTTCCACTATATTTACTTTTCGGGCGATAATTATCTTTATCTTCATATTTTTCAAAACTTTTATCCTTACCTCGACTGTCAGCATTGCTAATTTTAGTATATGGAGAATACCTACGTTCTTGAGAATGTCGTTTATTTTCTTTGATGTTATCGTTTTCTCTACTATTGTAATTCTCACGACTTTCATTGGGTTCATATTTTTCTCGACTTGAACTATCGTCATTCCTATATTTATTGCTCTTTTTGTTTTGTGTATAGTTATCCCGTTCAATACTAGCTTCTTTATTTTCAGATGAATTGTCTCTTTCAACACTTTCGGCACTATTTGATCTATCGCTTTCATTACTTTCTTCACTTGATCGAGATGAAGAATTTTCTTTTAGGCTTTCATTTTCCTTTGCAGGTTTTTGCTTTGCATGCAAGGTTTCAATATTGAAATCTGCAAGGGCTCCGCTTTGAACCGATTTTTTAACTAAAGGCTCAACTAATTCTACATTATCCGGTGAATGTACAGTTTCATAATTTACAATAAGTGGAGCATTTTTACTTTCGTTAGGTGTTATATTTTCTAATCTGTTTTCATTATCCACAGATCGTTTCTTTCTTAAACTATTTAACGGATGAGGTTTAGATTTTTCGTTGACAAGAGATTTGTCATCGTTCTTATAGACATATTTCAATACAGTATCTGTATTAGGAATTTCATTTGAAATTGACAATTGTTTGAGACATTCGTCTGTTGCTGTTTTCAGATCTTGTGAACAATTAATTATGTTATCTTGGGTACTCTGATTAGTTTTCTTTAGAGTAGTGTGATTGAGAGATATTTGTAAAGTAATAAGATTTGCGTTAGGAGCTTCTTGAACAACACTCTCTACATTACAATCACTATCATTGTGTGCATTTTCTTCATCACCAGCGCCAGTTTTTCGTGCGGCAGGTGTTGTAGTCAGAGTGTGGTCACAAATTGTATTATTATCGTTGATGATTTGTGCATCAGTTATCTGTAAAAATACATTTTAAATAACAGTCAATTTTAATATTTACGTAAACAGCTATTAATGTGTATGAACTACGTTATACTTACCTATATATTGGCAGTAGTGAATATTCTAACTACGTTTTAGTGTGATTGCACTACGGCTAAATTTAATTCACTAATTGATAAGCAATAAAACAAAATTTTATGAAAATCAGAAACTTTATTTATCATATGTACATATTTAATACTAGTTTTCGTGCATATTACATTTTCATGTCACTTTGAATCACTTAAAATAAATAATAGAGTACTCATAAGAAGAAACTGATGAAAAAAAGGTCTAAGAAGATGAAAACAATACTTTTCACTTTAGACATCGGTCACTATAAGTAAGTTAGGGCAAAAAGAAATTGAGTATCTATTATATTGTATTTATTTTAATCATTATAATCATTAGGGATCACTTTTCAAATCGTCAAATTAAATTCTAGAAATGTAAGGTTTCTAGACCATATGTAATTGTATTTAACTGTGGATGTTTCTTTAACTTTACAAATGTGTGTAAACTATCTATACAAGCGTTATTTGATATGACAAACAGTGCATACAACAAAAGCAGGCAAGATACAATGGAACATTCTACTGATATTACTTACGACTACTTATAATTTACGTTGATGAATAATGAATAATACTGGAGGTATGCTGAAAAGAGCTTTGACGTGATACAAATGAGAAACATTTTAGAGAAATTGTGTGTACTTTTACCTCCAGATATTAAATATAAATAATTATGTGATGTTTATGATATATCAAACTAAGTGGGTAGAGCAGCATTACTTTTTGGGTAAGAGCATATGTATGAATTATTAATAAATTTAAAAATAATATTTCTTTTACTCAATATCATTTATACAACTTCCGTGAAAATCATTCTTCTGAAACAATATTCTCAAAACATTTTCAGTTCCAGATGTCATTTTAAAAGAAGAAGAAAGGATTCCAGAACATAATTATTTAATATTGAGAATAATTCATTCAAGATGTTGACTATAAAATATAAAAAGGTAACATAAAGTATGTATGTGGTGTGTGTGTGTGTGTGTGTATTTGTATGTGTGTGTTTGTGTGTGTGTCTGTGTGTGTTTGTATGTGTGTCTGTGTGTATGTCTCTGTGTGTGTTTGTATGTGTGTGTAGGTCTAAATATTTACTATGGCATTTAAGCGATCGGCCTTTGCTAAGCCACAAACTAAATTAATTTTGTACAAAATACTTAATCTATTTATAAATAGAACAATCTCTTACATCAATATGTAAACATGTAATATTATTATTTTGACTCGTGGTTCATGTGTAGTTACGGAAAACATATCAATTGTTCAACTGCCTTGTGCTTTCCGTAACCACTTTTTTAAATTACACAGTAAGAATGCTTCTTTATAAAACATCAACCTGTAAAGATAGAGCTACTTCTAAATCTAAACTAAAATGTTTTTGTGTATGTGCTTTCCATTCAAGCTTAATAGTGGAATTTTGGTGATGTATTTATTATTTTTGATTGATTGTTGTGTTCAGTCGAAAAAGTTGGTGTTCCACATCATTTTGTGGTAAAATACTCGAATCCACAGCATTACTTAAAAATCAAAAGATTCACATTATACTGAAATACTGCTATCCAAAATACTTGACCTATTAGGCTTGAATGTTTAAATGACTGACACATGTATAACAATCACAAATGTATACTGTGACGTGTGAGTTGTGGCAATAGTTTGTTGTAACATAGATTTAACAAAAAAAGTTACCTTAAAAAGTAGATATGTATTTTATTAGGTCTGTATTGTCATTTTGTCATATAAATATGCCACAGCGCACCCGTTGACTACTTGATAAAAGCGAACAGTGTAGTAAACATAACGTGTACAATTTGTTTATCAGATACGCATGCGAGACACTCGACAGATACACTGTGAACTGACTAATTAAAGGTGATTAATCCTAGTTAGTGCAAACTATTTCTTGCCTAAAAACGGGTCGTATGTGAAACTACTCACGAATTGTTTTGCGGAGCCACGGAACGGCACTGGTTCAGCCCATTTAGTGAAGTCCATTGACGGAATGATACCACTCCTGCATGGAACGCGTGGGTTCCTAAAAATTGACAAAGTATTACAAATTGAATTTGTTAAAAGTAAATCTGAAACTTCAATTTCAAAATCACTGCTTACAATTCATGATCTGGGAGCACCATTGGATATAATTGTACTGTGTCGATGATATCAGTGTTATCACAGATCACTCGCGCTAGTCGTGCCTTCCTTATTTCCGTTAACTGTTCAGGCGTAAACGTCGAAGGTTGTTTAGGAAGTTCATACCTGGAGGAGAGAGAGAGAGTATCATCAAAAATGTAACAAATACTATAGAAAAGGGAAACATTTCAGTATAATATTATTAATCGTTACCAAAATCTGTCACCACGTCTTGAGTAAGAAAATTGGGTAGCAATAATGCACGCAAAAGTGGGCCCCAACATTGAACCTGGGAGAGGTCTCTCAGATACACCGCCGGACCACAGATCCACGTCAATGGGATGCTCGAAGATGGATTCATATTTGCGAACTGTTTCGTTGGACATTGTACCAAAGAGATCCTGGAAACTTTCTGCTCCAGGAAGACCACAGAACTTCCGGAATTCCATGTAGCCTGGCAATCCGAATTCACGGCCTCTTTGCATGTTGAATGACACCAGGTCCATTCCAAATCGTGCGCCGACTTTTTTGAAGAGATGGTTGGTGACCTCTTGTGTGATAGAGTCGTCCATAGCTTGAGCCACTTGGTTCATTAAGCCCATGACGTATTCGTCCAAAACTCCTGCTCTGTATAAATCATATGGTCTTCTTATGAGATCTGATAATCTCTTTGATGCTGAAATTCATAAAAAAATGTTTTAGGTATAGCTCCTGATATCACCATTTTCAAAAATAACATTGCGTTATATGTTTAATACTTCTAAGATAACAAGTTCTTTATTAAAACGCCTCCAGACTCTTGATATAGAATACTCTTATTGTTTGTACTAACCAATGAATTTGTGGGCTTTCGACCACCTCTCCACTGCAGTCGGTAAAAGTGAATGGCCGAAACGATATGCAGCCGCGGCAAAAGCGTCCAAAACATCAGGGTTCACTTCGGGGTCATATCCTTCCCAGTATCCCTGAAAATTGAGAATTATTTTTCTAACCACTAAAAGAATGATTTGTTTTTTGAATATCAGGCACAGCTAATTATACCCGTAGGTCTAATGTGTTTAAATTAGAATTTAATATTCTAACAACCAACCTCTTTCTCGAGAATTAAACCGAACTTCTCCATAACGTCTTTTCCGAGGAGTATGGGCAGGAATTCATTGTACGTGATGTGCTGGATTTCGGCGATATTTATTCGCCTGGCCTCTTGGTACAGGGTTTCATCATCCCAGTGCGGGTTGACTTCAGCGAGGGCGTTCGCGACGCGATTGTGCTCCCGAGCCATAAGTGTGTGCATTACAGTCAAAACCAGTTGTTCGTTCACTCGGATCTCACCTGCAACAAATTGGTGAATCAACTTTTTACTAAACCAATTTTGAGACAAAATCTCTTTTCTGATCAAAAGGAATTACTGATTCTACACAACCATATTAAAAAAAAATAAGATGACAGAAAGTTCGATTATTACATTAGCCGAAATTCTGGATCAGGGTATTCAATGAAGGCAATTATGCCAATGCCTACGCACTCGTATCTCGATAACGTAGGTAGAATTGACTTTTAAGTTTGGTGGATATTATAAAAGTAAAAGAATGTCTACAGGATTTTCCTTCCAGAAGTACTTAAATAAATTATCACGTTGTTATAAGCAGAATCGGAAATTAAAATTAATTGTAACGGGGACAAAAAGTTCATTCGATCAAATTCACTAAGATCCTTCAAAATTGTTTTAAACGATTAACTACGGAATAGCTATGCTTACCGGCTTCAAAGCAGTACATATTCTTGTTGGGTCGTGTGCAACCTTCATCGGGAATATCCAGTTTCAGAGGGAGAAGGTCTCTCAAGCCATACTCCTTAAACACGGGGTTCATACGCAACAAGCCGCCGTAGCCTGTACGCAGCTTTCTGAAAAAGTTATAATAGAAACAGGTAACATTTTAGTATTTACCGATTAAGGTAGGATGGTGAGTATAGAGTATGAAAGGACTCTAAAGAAACCCATAAATAAACCTCAACTGTCGGTCAGTGGCTTAGCTGTATCTAATGAACCGACATAGGTAAACAGTTGAATGTTCTCAATCAATAGAGATGTATTGCAGCTTTATCGTAAAACAAAATTAATATACAATTTTTCAAGAGCTTCGCTGTGTTTTGCTCGACCTAGTACTTATGTTTTTTTTATCAGGACTAAAGGTTGCGTGTTTCTTTTTAACTATTAGCGATTTGTTAAATGTGAATATGCTGTTATTAATATGCCATATTTCCAGTAACCCTGGTAGGGAAGCCGAACTCTTGTGTTATATAATATGATTGGGTTTAAGATAGTAATAGCTACAATTGCGAGGAGTGTTTAACGATCCTGTGGGCTAGGGATATATTCAGAAGTATACAAAAAGAAAGACAATACATTACCTCGCAAACTTCTCAGTGACTCCGTATACGGTATTTCCATCGATAGCACCGGTCAAAGTGTTGAACGGAACCCTCGATCCTAAAACGCAACACGTGTGTCAATAAAATGTAGCGTAACGAGCAAAGCCAATTTTATTTTAAATCTAACGAAAATATAACTAGAAAAAAATCCACGCGGACCAGGCAGCAGACGGGACTCGAACCCGCACCCTTCGCTATCCGGGCGAATGCACTGACCAATTATGCTACCTCGGCATACTTAAGCTGCAAGGCAGCGCCATCTCTTCGCATTGTAGGTAACCCACAATGTCAATGTTAGTTTTCTTACATGTTAGTATGAAATTCGCCATAACATTAATTTTCTAATTAATGTTAGGTATATCTCGTAGGTATATCAATGAATCATAAGAAATGTGTAAATTATTTTTTCTAGGCTTAACCTATAGGACCTCTTTATAATTCTTAAAATTTCCTAAATTTAAATCGTGTTTTGCATTCAGATATTTGTAATGTAGATTACAACACACCACCTCTAAATTATCGCTTGATAATTGTCGTAGACACGTTATTACCATTTATCCTATTATTTATTTCAGCCCTAAACATTTTGTCTTAACTATTATAATTTTTAGCCATCATAGTTAAATTTGGTTCAGTTTATAGAGCACTATTGAAAATTGAAGCGCATTATTTTATTTCGGAAGAATCGTTCATTAAATTCATTCATTACATTGACATTAACTCATAAATAAATCTAATAACACCGTATGAAATTAACTCGCCGCCAGCGTATGAGTACCAGCAACTTAGTTAATGGATATTAAGTTGAGCCAAATATTTAAATTTTATTAAATGCCAGTCATTTAGTAATTGTGAGTTGTCAGCCTTCGGGCTAGCAATATACCTAATTTGTCTAATACGTCCACTGACCGCCGTGATTAAACATTTGAACATTTATCGCCCCACTTGGCATGGGTATCGAAATACAAATTGCACATTTACGGCAGCAGCAAGCAAAGTAGTGATGGTAATAAAACGACCGGATCACTCACGCCAAATTATTTCTTAACGCGCTGTTTGCATAAGCCTGATTCTGACGAATTGCGATTTTCTCAAGTGATCTGTCTTAGATGAGGCAAATGGGAGGACGCCGACCTGCTTTTTATGATTGTTGAGATAAACGAAATCGAGCAAGCGCTAATAATCGGATTTGCAAACCGAGAAGATGTCGATTCTATCAGTTTAATGAGAAAAAAAATTGATTAACGTTGCGTTGTGCATTTTGTTCTATTATACAAAGATTTCAGTATCACCGTAGTTTCAATAAAACGTTCTTATTTTTTTAAGATGAATGATTTCTTAAATAAATGAGAACTTTTTATGCAAGTGTGTTTTGTCAAGCAGAATAAATCATAAACATTTTTACGATGTTTACAGTAATTTGACGCAGTTTGAAACGATAGAGGTGTACATTTTATCCTCGTTAAGAAGGTGAAAACTGATAGTTATATCTTAGAGAGAGGCGTGTATCATGTTGAACACTCGTGTCAAGGCGAGGGTTAGATCTACGAATTCTAATGTTTGTGCACTACATTGCGTAAGCGCACTTTCCCCTCTCACCGGCAGATGATACCGTGCGCCCACCCGACCGGTCACATGATTCAGTCTGACCTCGCAACAATTACTACACATGCTGGTGTATTTTTGCAACGCTGATTTAATGGCTGGTTGTATAACGCGGACGTTAGAGGAAGTTGTTAAAGATCGCAATTCTTTTAAAACTAACGCATGGGAAGAATTCACAGTTCAGCCTAAGCTTTTATTATCGCTTGCAAAATTCTTGGTGCGTTGATGTCTTTTATACGTACAAGTATGAAGAAACTGTTTTTTTTAAGTTTGTAAGTCGGTGAAGGTGCATTATTGTGATTACTTTTTACTGGCGTAAGAATTACCTTTTACCTTACCTTTACCTTACTTATTAACTGAAATAATTATATGTCAAAATGATAGAAGTGTTCCCATGACTTTATAAAATGATCACGATCCAAAAGCAGCGGTAAAAGTGACAACCACATTAATATGTTATGTGTATGATGTATCTTTGAATATAGTAATCACGTCGCGTTAAAATTTCATGGTACAGCTCAAGTAGGGTTACCAACTTTTTTTCTATCAAATATAGTATTTTCGAAGCTGTTGCCTCTAAAAATATAGTAGATGACAAAAAAATGGAAAAAATATAGTATGTGGTTAAACAGTGAATATATTTTTGCTGCTCTATATCTTAATACTTCAGTTTTTATTTTAAGCAAGCTTTTACTGGCAAAAGTCTTTTTTACGCAAAATATTGTAGTTTCGCCTACTAGTTTTTTATTTTTTGATATACAAAGGAGCCCCGGTAATCCGACCCCTGGCTAATGCGGCACCCCCTATAATCCGACATCGTCTATTACATACAAGTATTCGCTAATTCACTATTGAATAAGTTACAACTTATACTCGACGCGTAGGGGTTTTTTTTTATATTTTTTTGTAAAAACTATAGCATTAATGACGTTACTTTTATAATAAAACGTAATCTTTCTATTGTGTTGTTTAATTTACTAAATTTGACATACATAACAAAGTATGATTTGTAATCTTATCATTGGATCTGTAATTTGTCGGATTACAAGCTACGCTTTTGCAAAAAAATCGGACTATAGAGGGTCTTAGACAGTACTCTATAATCCGACAAATTCGATAGTTCGACACTGGTGTCGATTCTAGCATGATTCTCTAAACCTAAACTTAAATTTGACAGCAGTATATCCTTGTCATTCTCTATACAGAATGAAAAGGAGAGACTGATGTCAAATTTAGTTTTAAGTTTAGAGAATCACGCCAGAATTGGCACCACTGCCCTACAAAATGTTTGTCGGACTACCGGGGATCCACTGTATAGTATTTGATCCCGCAACATAGTAGGTTACTATATCATATAGTAGGGTTGGCAACCCTAGGCTCAAGTAGTCCCTAGCAGCATGAAATGTCGCAGGTTAACCACAAAGTAGCCAAATGATGCAGTTGCCCAAGCGTCAAGTGCGGTCAGCAGATCAGCCACTATTTATATACCGACTGGTGACCTCCATAATGCAGGTTTGAATTTCAATCGATGTTGATATATCTGTCAAATTATTTACTCGTAAGTGTCCGAACAGCTAATGTTGGTAATTAAAATACCGTGCCATGATTGTTAAAAAAAAAACATTTTAATATTACTAAGTTGTAACTCGTTTTTTATCTTTCACTACTTATATGCTGAAGGTATTTAAAAAATATTTCATCAACGAAAACTTAATTACTCTTATTTAAACTTCACTTGTAGGTAATTTAGAACGGAAAGACGTCTGGTTTATAAGGTAAAATCATATATATTTTCTTGAACGCATAATAGTTTCAAGTCGAATTAATGCAATGATGGCCTTTTAAAAAACAAAAGTGGGTTAAAAAAACGATTTTAATCTTTAAAATACTTTGCGTTTCAGCCAGTTCTTCTTTGTACAAGGTCTCTGCTAAAGACTTATGAATCGCTGACATAGCTTTTCCATTACCATTAGTGCTTATAATTGCCAAGACTGATAAAATGTATGTATTGAAAACTTACCCAGACGGCAGCCGGGGCGCGGGGAGGGGAATCCCCTGACGAAATCAATGCACTTGACTCCGAATAATCTGTAGAAGTAGTCGTCTTCGGGCACTCTTATTTCGTTGCAGTAAGGATGCTTCAGGTGAGGCGGGCGCTTGCAGCACTCCTCGGGGTCGTTACGGTTTATCGGATCTAGAATGAAGTAAACATCTCAATCATTATATTAATTAAGGGGGAGAATCATAAAGGAACTATGGACAGAACCTGTCATGCATAGAAAATTAAACAAACATATGCGTAGTGATAAAATGATAAACGACTTAAATTTATACTATGTCAATATAGATAATTTCAATGATTATTCTTTGCGGGATTGGCAGACCCAGATAAACCATCAAGGTGTCATTTTAAGAAAATATTTCTTTTACGTTCGTTCGTTTGTAATTGGTTGAGTTAAATTAGGTACCGGAAATAATAGTTATACACTTTATCAGTTTATCAATCAAAATTTACCAAGACGAAACGTACAGGTAAGTTCCATAGAGCAACACGACCGATGCTTGGGTAGTTCAGTACCCCTAGCACGAACCATTATCGAAGTCGAATAGTTTGCAAACCGAAATGTCAATGTCAAATTTTGTATGGAAACTGCAGCGCCCTAAAGTACGTAAAGAGATCTAGAAAGCAAATGTGTACCTACCATTTGATAATGACATTTCGGACTCGCAAACGATACGAATTCAATAATGGTTCGTGCTAAGGGTACGGTACTACCCTTAGTTCTGATTTTTAGTTCTCGTTACGTACTTTGGGGCGCTTCTATTCAAGTTTTCACAAAATTTGACATTGACATTTCGGACTCGCAAACTATTCGAATTCGATAATGGTTCGTGCTAGGGTTAGAGGTCATACTCTATTATCTGTGTATCAAACATTCATTTTGTTCATCAGTCGAGTAAAAAACACGAACTCAATATCATTTTTGCTTTTCTTTCATAAAATAATAGGTTGCACAATAACCTATCCTGCGGTACCTATTTACTTACTTACTACTTCTTCTACGTGATCTTGATTCCTAAAGACAAGTTTAAAATGTTATGTAAAATGTAGAACAACACGAACGTGGCCTTATACATGTTGATAAAAAATAGAGTAACAGTCTGATAAAAATTGGGTATTTCGTGATTTTCTAATAGACCATCAAGCGACTATAACGAGTACATTATTGCTGGTTATGTAAATACTATTCGTAGTAAGAAGATGTTTACAGTTGATGGGGTTGCTGTTTGATAAAAAAAAAACTAGTAAAGTTTCGTTACATAAGTTGATGATTAGTTGCGTATGAGCTGAATGAAAATGATTTATGTGTGATAGGTAGATTCACGAGTAAGTGAATGTAAAAGTGTAGTTAGGTTCAGGTACCCATAATTTAATAATCCGGCTTAGAATCCCTGTGGGGTCAGATGTTTGTGTGATGAATACGAGCATTTGTACACCAGTCACGGATGTTCGATATGTATTTTTACAAAAAATATACTTATATAAGGTTCAGTATATGTATTCAATCCGTTGCCCTAGTATCCCTTATAGCAAGCTTACAGTGCTTAGTTTGGGGCTAGGCTAATTGGTGTGAGTGTTGAAAATATTTATTTATTTAATAATATTTTAAAAGAACCTACACTCCAGCCACGCCTATCGAGTAGAGTTGTAATAAAAGTAGTTTTCTGAAATTTACGAATTTTCTACACAACTTTCTTTTTGAAGTGATGCGTTGTACACTTTTTTGTATGGGTAAAAAATGGCAAACTCGCGTCAGGTTAAACACGTGGGCTGATCGCATCATGGCATACAATAAAATTGGAAAGGTTGTTGACTTTCAATATATTGGACGAAACAAGTCTCTATCTAGGACGTCCACGTGGCAGCTTTATTGCGAAGAAAATGCATTTTTTTTTATAGTAGATGTCGCTAGGTGCGCTTAAATGTGATTCATGTAAGTTGACTTCTTTACAATAGATGTCGCTAAATGCGCTTAAAAGTGATTCATGTAAGTTGATTTTTCTGAGAGTCAAACTTTTTTAATGTAATATAAATTGTCATGTTTGTGTACGATAGCGCAATAAATAAATATTGTATTCTACCACATACATGATAGTACTTTTATAATGATAATTAAAGCAATTCGTGCAAAATTATTCCCTAACCATTCCAAAATATCAAATATGCACAACGTTAATATTCAAGTTTTCACTTCTGCCGGCACTCCTGGAGTGCAACCCGTCGTTTTTTTTTTCTGTAAATACCTCTTACCAAGGTTACTTACTTAAAATAAGTTGAATAAAATCAGCTGTCGTTCTCAAATTAATGCATGTTTAGTCAGTAGGAATTTCCTTTTATCAATACAGTACCCTTAGCAACCAAATCCAACCAACTAATAGCGAATTCGTTACGTTTGTGAGTGCGAAATTTTATTGTCAAGTTTTGTATGGAAACTTAGCAGCCCCAAAACGTTCGCAACGAGAAATAAAAATCAGTACACATTTGACATATCAGTACCTATCTAGATCGAATTCAACTTTTCGAATTCGATAAAGGCTAACATTACAGATTTATATATTTAACCCTTACTCACCAAGAGGCGTGCCAGTGAGGGTGTAATCGTGGTCCATGAACTGTCCCCACGCGATGACCATGACGGTGCCAGCGTGGTCGTGGAACCCTTCGTCGGGGTGCATGGTGCGCGAGACCACGCGGGACAGCGGCAGGTCCCGGCCCGTGTGAGAGATCCGCGGGGCGTTGATGCCGTCAGCGAATAGCGGGCCCAGCAACCTTTGATTAAAGGAATGCATGATTTTATTTTTTTCTCACAAAGCAACATTACACTTAGTAAAAGGGTATGAAGGACAAACCAATACACCAATACAAACAATGCAGTTCTTTAAGAGAGCTGTAGATTGTACTAGGTTACAAAATCTGTGTTACGATGGCGGTTGGCTAAAATCCTCTTACTTAAACCCCGTTTGCTTGTTGCAGATTCTTGTGCATATCATCATGAATTATTACTCTGGATTATAAGAGTAAATACTAGTAAATGATAGTTAATGTTTAAATTGAATAATATTTATTGCGAAAATGTATGACTACTATTCTATTCTATGTATATATGAAAGCTTGCTTAGTCCAGTGGACAGTGAGATTAACTACTTGAGCGGTCTCAAGTTCGAACTCGAAGGGAGCAAAACTTTGTGTAATGAGCATGTTTCCAACCTCTATTTTATTGTGTATGCATCTATGTCTATGCTTTATGTCTAGTATAACAAAATACAAGTTATGCTTAGTTTGGGGTTAGGCAATACTTGTGAAAGTATCTAATACTTATTTATTTAAGAACGTATGTCTCATTTAAGTTACGGAATAAAGAAGCATCTGGAAGGTACTGCTAAGTGTAAAAGGAACAACACAGCTTAGAGATAAACTGAGAGTTTATCGATAGCCACGTGGGATGAATGGGCCCTCTAGTCTTCGGTACTTACCGGCCCTGCACTTCACGTGAGAAAACACTGGTAGTAGACCCACCACCTTTGTTAGAGTAACTGACTCGTTACTTTGGTGTTTGTCACGCCCCCCGTAGGATGCAGTAGATTGCATAGCCTGTCCAGTCTTCGGTAGTTGCCAGCTCTGTACTCCATACGAGACAGCACTGGCAATGTGCCTGCCTGGTTACAGTTACTTTCTAATACTCATGCGTGTAATCGGAGTAAATAATACATTATCTTCACCTTTGGAACGGAGCGTCGTTTGTCGCACCCCACGCAGGATGATGCAGATTGTTACAGAGGCCGTCCAGTCTTCAGTTTTAGCCGGCCCTGCACTACACTTGCGGGAACACTGGTTGATACACCGCCCAGTTAGAGTTATTGTCTAATACTCGTTACTTCAGAGTAAATGATACATTAGGTTCACCTTTAGAACGGAGCGTTGGTTGCGCCCCACGTAGGACGCTTCAAGTTGTTGCAGAGGCCATCCAGTCATCGGTACTTGCCAGCCCTGCACTTCACGTAAGAAAACACTAGCAGACACACCTCCCTGGTTACAGTTACTTTCTCACACTCGCTCCAACAGAGTAAGTAATAATACATAAGGTTCACCCTTGGAATGGAGCGTTGGCCGCGTCACAAATAGGATGATGCAGGTTGTTGCAGTCTAGTATCGTTTTCTAGTATTCGATATATCGAATACTCGATACTTGCCGGCCTTGCACTTCACGTGAGAGACCACTGGCAGACACACCGACCTGGTTAGAGTTACTATCTAATAGTTGTGCGGGCTATCGGAGTAAATATTACATTAGGTTCACCTTTGGAATGGAGCGTTGGTCGCGCCCCACGTAGGACGCTGCAAGTTGTTGCAGAGGCCATCAAGTCTTCGGTACTTGCCGGCCCTACATTCCACGTGGGAGAATACTGGTGGACACACTTCCCTTATCAGGGTGCGGGATGTATCGATCAACGGCAGGCCTTTCTCGATCTCTTCGTATGTTAGACCATATCTGTGGACAAAAAAATAATATTGACGGAACGGAATAGGGAAATTTTTAAACTCAACTAGCTCATACTGTATTAGTTTCGATTCCTCTTTCAGTTCAGCAAGGTCTTTTGTTAATTTCCAAGTATAAATATTCGACTTTGTGGGTAAAATGTAATATATAAAATTCTCGTGTCACGGTGTGCGTATTTGAACTACTCCGAAACAGCTAGTTTAAAATATAAATTAAGATTTTTGGACCTGTATTAGAAATCTGTTGCTGTGATTGTTCTAAAGTACATATATACATAAAGACCTGCTGTACGTTAAGATTTGGAGGCTAATTATAAAAAAATCGTGATATACATATCTACATCGTGCTAAAATATACACGATAATGTTGCATTCAATATATTCGTGACTGCAGCTGAATTACGCTATTGTTGCGGTATAGTTTGAATGTATGGTAATTAATATCGTTCATAGTCTAATTTATCGTACATTGTGTTGGGTACGAAATGAAATATGGGTTCCAAATTATGTGGTCAAAAGTTCACATCGGTTTATTATTAAAAAAAGAGAAGCAAAACTTTAAGAAATAACTGTTTATTACTGAAGTGTGGTAAGAATATACGTGTCTCATATTTTCCGCTCAGAAAACTTTATGTGGACGGTGACGTAAGCTAAGGAGCAGCACTACAGAAATTATAGCCTGCATTGAAATGATTTACTTTGCGCTTTATAACTAGTAATTTGGTAACGACGTTAAAATGTCAAGGTTTGTTGCGTTAGCGACGTAACTTAGTAATACATATAAATTGGATCTCATTAAAAGAAAAATAACAAATTAAGAGGGGAGACGGGCAATGTGTGTGTTTCTTCCATACAAACGTTCTCGACTGATCACTCCTTGATTTTTATCACTAAAGAAATGATTTTTATCTATACATAAAATATAATTTTACTTATTCTATGCTCTTATGTATTCCTTTTTTCGATAACTTGTGTTTCAAAGAAACTGTTACAAACAAATCTTTTTTATCACCACTAAAGACGTCTAGTGTAGAGGGTCAATAAGCATCTACTAAAAAAGCAAAACATTGAGGCATAGAACATTAGGATCAGAGTTAGCCGCGTGCTGCGACCAGACCAGAAAGAAATGTCTCTGAAACCAGAGACATTCCTTTCTGGTTACGATTAAGTTGTGGAATGAGGTCCTTTTGAGGTTTTGCCGAACGAATATAGCATAGATTTATTTAAAGGCCTTTATAGGTTAAGCAACACGCATGTGATAATTCTTAATTAGTCCAGCTCAAAGTAAGCATATTACTAAAAGCTTGTGTTTGGGACAATAGGGTAACGGATCGAAAACCATACAATGCTATGTATAGATAAGTATACATTGTTTTGTAAAAATAAAATTTATTCATTGATTCATACAATGGGCCACTAGGGTTCGAACCCATGATCTACATAGATACCACTACGCCACAGAGTTCATAAACTTCGATTAGGTCGTGAAATTATAACAGAGTGACGCAGTGAGTTTTGTATTTTATAATATAAGTATGGATTCTTTAAATACTTACTTAAAAGTTCTTTGTTTCTGATTTTCAAATGCCTTTAGTTACGTATTTTGTAATAAGAGGAGCATTGCACATAAACACTTAATATTTTCCTAGTTTAGTATGATATTTTGAATGGACTATTACAAAAACATATTGCAAAACGTAAATTAGGTAAAAAATCTTATACACTGGATTTTTTTGCATTGACAAATATTTCTTCAAGACATTTCAGTGAGCACTAGTTATGTGCTCTAGTTCGTGAAACTGAGCAATCTAATATAATTTGTGAATCTTCAAGGTCCAAAATAAATTACTATAGATAGCTGTAACATACAACAGTTCACAACAATCGTGTTGCATACAAAAGAAGATGGGACGGTAATGTTCGAGCCGGTTACATCATTAAGTTTTTGAAAGTTCCTGCTGACAATAAAACATTGTGATTCACAGATCATGTGATGTGATTATTATATAATGAAATTCGTAATTGTAACATGATTTTTCATTTTTAGCTCTCGCTGTTTATAAATGTGTTGTTTAGGGTAATGTGACATGAGAACGCGTTGTTATTTTAATGTGGATATATAATATATGAGTTGTGGACTAGAATTGCTGATTTTCTTCGCTTTTTATCTATTCGTATATGAATTAGACTAACTAGCGATCGTGTTATTTATAGAAGACTAAAACATTATTTATAACATCAGTAATAAGTTTGACATTACACCAGTATTACACAATGTTTATATTCTGAAGTCAGGTTACTTGAATTAATAATAACGTAATAGCTAGTTTGATTAAGTAGGACAAAACCTATTATTACTTACAGTAAATGTTATTAAAGTTGGATTGCTTTTCTGTATAACCAGATTTTAGATTTCGGGTTGACTGAAAGCAACACACATATCAATTAAAATGATAAGCGCTTCTAGTTCTACTGAGTTAAACTGGGCTCTCTATTGTATTTTCCCTATTTTTCACTCAATACTCAAAAAACGGAGTAGTTTCTTAATTCATGGGACTTTTTTTCTATTATGAAAATTATGTCACCTTTATATTATTTTCGAAACTGTGCTTATGTATTGGACTTATATAATTATACCAATTCCATGATATTACCAATCTTCAGATCAGTCTCTTCGGCAGTTACCTATTGAGTTTTCTTAAAACACATTCTGATTTGATTAATGAAATAAATAAATATAAAGTCTTAAACCTTTAATGAGATAAAAACAAAATGTATAAAGATATGATAAAGTAAAATAGATATTTTTTGTAATCTGTATTATTAATATCTGTATATTTAAACAATATCTACATGTTTAATTATTATAAAAACATACTAATATTATAAAATCTGAAAGTTTATATGTTTGTTCATTAATCAATCACGCAAAAACTACTGAAAGGATAAAAAGAAATTTGGTATCCTTATAGTTTATGACCTGTATTGAGACATTTATCCCGGAAAAATATTTGGTTCCTGTAGGATTTTCAAAAAACTAAAGATAATGCGGACGAAGTCGCGGGCGGCCACTAGTACTATAATAAAACAAACTAATCCGTGATAAGGCTGACTATTAGACTGGTGGTTTTGACTATTTATTACAGTTTCGGTAGCATTGTACCCAATACTTTATAAGTGTATTGTTAACGATATTCAACAAACATATTTTTAATTTCCTGAAATACAAGCGAGCACTTCCTTATGGCGATTAATGACTTCTATTCGCTGTGTTTTAGATAGTTTTGACTTGTCCAATGCGCTGAAACAACAACAACTGACATCAAGTGTGTATGCAGCATGCAGCCTAGATCTGTCAATCACGGCAGGCAGTTGTAAGTAGGTATTAAGTTCTATAATACTTAGTGACCTTCATGATGATACGCTACGATTGCTAAGTTACGTAATTACGAAATGAACAAGTAAATGCGCCTAATAATATTAATATAGGCTTTATGTTGTTGCATATTTTATGCGACCTTGTTTTATACGAACCAGCTGTTTCCAATGATGAAATAATAACTATTACTTGCATTAGCTTTGGAATTTCTGGTGTTCCTGCTTTGAATTCTTACTTTTTTCTTTGACAAAAATCAAGGCTTAATCACGCTAATATTATAAAGGCGAAAGTTTGTGGGTGTGTATGTTTGTTACTTCTTCACGTCTAAACGGCTGGAGCGATTTTAATAAAATTTGGTATGGAGTTAGCTGACAACCTGGATTAACGCATAGGCTACGTTTTACTGCGGGAAAATATTCCTAATAAACCGCGGATAACACGGCGAGGCACAGCTACTTGTATATAAAACCGCAATTAGAAATCTTTTACAACGCTTTAATAATAGTTTAAAAACCTAGTCTAAACAATAACACCGCAGGATACTTCTTTGCTGAACAAAAGGTTCAAAGAGTTAAAAAAAATGTTATGTCCCCATTATTAAATATCATATCGACAGTGAAAAAGAAAAATTGCTTATACGACACTTTGGTGTTGCTTAAAAATGAACTTAATTTCAGTTTTTATTCAATGTTAATTTTTAAGCTGCACCTAAGTGGCGGATAAGCAATTTTGCTATTCCACGGTCGATATAATTGAGCGAAATTCAAGATCCATGGAGGGGAATACGGCAATTTAGTCTTGCTTAAAAAAGAACATCCGGGGCTGCAGACGGATATAAAAAAATATAAAATATAACTGTAGCAAAGCAATTCTAAAGCAGACGGGTCAAATTTGTATGGAAGGTGGTAGTAAATCTCCGGCAGACTTCACATTTTAATTATATGTAGTGCAGTTAATTGTAAATTGTTTGAAAAAAAAATTTAATTAATTTTAGCCTCCTTTTTTAATAATAATCAAAATCAAATATTACAAAATTATTGATTATCAAATCGGAAGATTATTTATCTGCTGATTAATGCCAGAACATCAAATATATTCTATTTTATTATATTGTTAATCTATTATTATATTATTAGGTATTTTCTGGGTATTTTTATATAGGAAGAATCAATCATAAATTGATATAAAATTTTCTCCACGATTTCATGAATATCATGCATAAGCTGCCTCAGACTAAAAATATGGCGTACTTATGGCTAGCAATCCTTACGAATTGTTCAATTTTTAAAAACGATTTAAAATTAATCGGGGATAAATAAAAATCTGTAAATATCTGTTCATGTTATTTACTTAAAACAAGATTTTAAATGACATATGTTTCATCGCTGCCGGAAAGCGACCACCACTTTAGAAACGTCTCATATAAATACTTGATTAATATATGCAGCTAAATTACCACTTCCGCAATTATCGAACTAATTTTAATTGCATATTTTTGCGTACCAACAAATCCTATCCTCCAACCTAGCAATAAATCCTATGAACTAGATATCTTATCTTCTGTTATACTTAGTATTTTTTTTGTCAAGATCATTTGCGCAGTTTGCATGACAAATAGAATAAAAAATAATATCCGTTTCGTTACTACAAGAACTATATTTGTATACCAGAAAAGTAATGAACAGTGGAATATTTATCCACCTTATGTCCATGTGAATGTCGTGAAATGGCAAAACCTCATATTTTGACTAAGGTGTAGAATTTACGAAGTTAGGCCTTGTAACTCTACAAGGGTGTGTAAAGTTAGGGTGTGTAGAATTCGAAGCTTGGCTCTACACGAAATCTGTCAATTTTTTCACAGTGTGAGTCATATGGTCTCGTCTTGGCAATATTTTACTGAAAATTATTTTAGTGGGATATACCTTACTCAACAAAGGAGTCGAAGCAATATAAGCTCGAAGTCTTTATCAATTTTTAATATTTAAAATATTTATATTGTTTTGTTTATAACAACGATTTATATAGTGACTAAAGCAAAAAAAAATATTTGATTTTGTTTGGATGATATCGAAAGTTCTTTAAAAAGTACTTAGTATGAAGTCCCCGAAGTTATATTACGTGGACATTTGCCCCACAAAATTTAAGTTTGATAGAAGGGATAAAGGGTAAAGAAATAGTCTAAAATATGCACAACGTCATATTTTTTTTAAAAATTACTGCTAACTTCCCTCGTTATCAGCTACTGTTAATAACCATAATTTCAGAAGCCGACCTTAATATGAGATGTTGCTATCAATTTACATATTCTCGCAATCAGTGCAAAAATACTTTAATGCACAACATCTCTCACCCGCGCGCGCTATCATTTATCTTTTTGGTCATTCGTTAACTTAATGACTTTGTCCTTAGGCTCAAAAGAGGAGGAACTGAACTTGTAATGTCCATTTGTAGAACACCATTTGTCAATATGAGAACACGTCTACTGGTAAGTTTGCACTTCCGTGATAGAAGATACACACTCCTCTTAATAAGTATTTAAAAGCTCTCGCGTTCATTCATTAACTAATCACGAAATCTCGAAAACTACAGTGCCAACAGCACTACATGGAAATGCAATTAGATACGGTGTTAGATCAGGGCCGGATTTAGTGGCGCGAAGGCACTTTTTTTTAATTACGCAGGCAAAACCTCTATTTACAGACGTTAGCGCCTTTAAGGGGCACAGCAAAGAACGGACTTCACACCCAGCCGCTCGCTAGCCGCACGGCTAAAAAGCGCTTACGGCATAGATTCCGATAAAAAAAACCTGCGAATACCCTCTACGCTGTTAAGTGCGGAAGCGCGAGATGATCCCCTTTAAGGGACTTCACCGCGTTGCCACATCCAACAGCCTCCCGGTGGTGTGGAGGCCCTGGTGTGGGCCTTACATACTTCCCGAGGCAAAGTAGAGCTCGCGAATGAATGATAAATTTTTGGTCACACATCTGATGAGTCACCACAGTGAATATTGCTCAACTTCTACAAGCGTAGTCCAACGATTTTTTTTGCGTCAATTTTCTCCCCTCAAGTAGTGCATACAAACTTTCACCGCAATTTTGACGATCGGAAAAAAATAAGGGTACTTAATTTTAAAAATTTCGCGATATCTAGGGTAAGCTGAGACCGTGTAAAGGGTTACATGAAATTGAAACCTGGCAACACTGGTTACCTGGCACGGATAGCCCCTCTTTAAAATCTGGCACCCGTGCCACTTATGATTTGCAATATTTGTTGATAGGCCACATCCCCGCCTGCCCAGCTTTAAATACACGCCTGTTTGAGATAACAAGTAGCAGAGGTCATCCAAAAAAGATTTAGGGTAAGTCCCCATCTCTAGGGGAAGAAATAGTGGGTAAGTTAATTCTTCATCTATAGACTTCACATTATGAAAAATACTTGGGGGTGATTGAGAATTTCCTGGTTATATTTAATTTTAAGCATTACATAGGTAGTTTAAGTTATAAATCTAAAAGAACTGAAAATAAATCAATTCGATCCAAGTGTCAGGCTGGATTTGAACCAAAACGCCTTGCGTAAATGTTAAAGGTTTCAATTTCATTTTACCCTTTACACGGTCTCAGTTTACCCTAGATTTATATACCCTAATTTTTTCGGATCGCTAAAATTCCGGTAAAAGTATGGACTACCCTACCTATTGAGGGATGAGTCATTGACGCGAAAAAAGCTCTATAAGAAGTTAAGCAATATTCACTATGGTCACTCATCACATGTGTGATTTCATCAGATTGCATAATTTTTAAAACTAAAAAGGTACGTAGATTTTAAAACTATTTGATTTATTTGTTATCTTTTTTTCGACTATACTTTATTTGTTATCTACTATCCTTCTAATGTCCGAGATAATATAACGGATGTTATTAATGTATGATTAGGGTTACTAACTCTTTCAGGAAATCTAAATAGGAAGCGAGATTATCAAGTGATTTCGACACTTTGTTCTCTGCAATAAATCAGTGCAATAGATCTGTGACTCATGGTCTTATTTAACTACTGGTTCACTTACGAGACGACGACATTTACATGCCTCTCACCAAAGGTTAGCGCTTGTAGGTGGCAAATGCCTACTGTCCGGTCCGCGAATAATATCAAGGGTACACACCACACGTTTTGCAAATCTTAATTGTTATAAACGTTATCAATTAACAAAAAAAATTGTCTCCTACAAATCATTATTGCTTTTCTTTTAGCTCATTGGTATCTGAGAGGATATAAAGTTAATAGGTACTATGTTATTTTCTTTTTCATAATAAATTTAATAGACGTGGTTAATTAAAATTCCTTATTGTAATATTTTAAATTCATTAATTGGACTAGACGATAAAAGAAACATTGATATTATCTTCTAAATTTTTTACATTTTCCTTTTATTTGTAAAATTTGTATTTATTGACGCGCTCTTGTTTCGTTTTCTTAGCTTCAATTTGTATGACCATGAAAATTTACAAAAAGTAAACAGTAATTGTATCGGCCTTGTTTCAGTATCGTTTTGTTTTGCCACAAGCATCCGTAAAAGGGTAAAGAGAGCACGTATCGATCAAGGTTACGCCGATGATGCCAAAAGTCATTGATCCAAATACCAAGAGAAAGATCTTCAATATCAATAATTAAAACGTATTGTCATTAGTACAGTTAGGTCAGTACGTGCCATTGCGATAAGTTTAATTTTATCAACATTTCAAATGTGAATAGGTAACATAAGGCAGGTATTACACAAATTCCAATTAAGCTTATACGTTTTGAGTTGGAGCTTATACATAATTTATATAAATATTACCATTTCAAAACACGTTCCATGTAGTTCATGGCTTTTTGTTACCGTTAATTTAGCCTTTTGCTTTAAGGTTTTTTATAAAGCATCCCGATCATGGGTGCGCTATTATTGCGCTATTATCGGTCGATAATATCGGATGCGTCATTGCGATAGTTCTTGCTCTCTCATTATCGCAGCAGATGTGTAACTTCGTAGCCGTTCTCTTAGATAATATACTAAAAATAAATAATAGATAATGTACTAAACATAAAATAAAGGCATTCGATATTATCGACCGATAAAACCTCGCCAATGGGGGGAGGCCTTAGTTATTTCACATTACCAATATGGTATAAATCGCTTTCAGGTTTTCAATATTTATAGTGTAAGCCGTAAATTATTATTGATATTTCACTATGACTAAATTATTCTCGATTAAATTGTTCACACTGCACTATTACTACAATTGGTGAATGCGTAGTATGAAGTGATTTACAATACCTATGTTCTAAGAGTTTTACGAAAATAATATATATACACCCCGGTAAACTTCTTGAGCATCGACCATAGACAAGGAAGCCTGTGCAGTAGCAATTTTACATACAAAAACATCTCCTGTTCCAGTTTATTTTTCTATGGCTTTGTTCAAGAAGTTTGCCGCTACAGTGCGACCAAGATCCTTAAGAATTTGAGTGACAGTTCAGGGGGGGGCACCACTCTCTACGTAAATGGCCAAAAATACAACATATGACATTTATAAAGACGGCGGTGTTAGTTCCAATTTTTGCCACATTCATAGAGATCTTGGTAGCACTGTACCTATATCTCTTGGGAAATTATGTCGTTATTTCTATCAAAAGCTGTTTTAATAAGCTCCTTTTAGGAACTGGTGATTTTTCTTATAACTAGAAGTTACGTCGTATGGATGTGTGAGCGGCTCGGAATGAAGTTAGACGAGAGTGACTTACGTTCTTGCCAAGTTGATGGAGATGTCAAGGATAAGCTCGCCCACGCTCGCGAAGTCTTCAGGTTTCCAGTCGCCTTTCGGCTGCGATACAACTGCAAAGAAACTCATTCTTAATAAAAGTTGAAATGTGTCCTTTCAATATAAATTTTCCACTGAAAGGGTCTTGACAGACAACGGAGGTATCGAGTTGCAATTTCAACCATATACTAAAATTTACGGTCCCTTAGCGCTGTAAAAAAATTACATTCCTAAGTTAACGCAAAAAAGATACGGCCGTTTAAGATGTGTACCTACAAATTTAAGCTAAAGGGAATGTCTGTGAATATACCAGTCTTTGTTTTTATATTTTACCCAACGCGTGGATGTATCGAGTAGCAATTTAAACCTTAAGCCAAATCTACGGTCCCTTAAACCTGTGAAAAAATTACACTTCATGAGTTAACGCAATAAAAAGATACGGCTTTTATGTTGCGTACCTACAAATTGTACGGAACTTTCGATATACGTGTGTGCGGTTGACTCGTTTTTTTTACTACAACGACAAAGTTAACGGGTTTAGTTGTGAATATAGCAGTTTATGGTTTTATGTTTTACCTTAGGAATTTATATACCTAATAATAACGTTACGTTTTACCGGAACTGTTCAACTACTGCAATGACACTGTTTTACACAACACAACAAATGGATATGACTCACTCTTCTTATATGATGATCATGATTGAGTAAGCACTATCCCCTTATTAATAAACGCAGAATAATCTTGGACTAGTTATACCATGTTTTGTCTCTGTTCATTGTATGACAAATGGCATTTGAGTGATATGAACAAAACAAGGCGTAATTGCAGTCTAAGCCAATTGTTTGATCATCTCCGTGGCCGAGTGGTTTGTACGCCGAGTTTCAAGGTGTTGCTTACTCGAGAGGTCCCCCGGGTTCGAATCCCGATGGGGGCAGATGTTTTTATGATGAAAACTAGCATTTGTGCTCCATTCATGGATGCATAAAATATATTTTTATATAAAACACTTATACATGTATAAGTATCAGTATTCTTTTCGTTACCCTAGTATCCCATCATCATCAGCCTATTAAGGTCCCTACTGCTGGGGCACAGGCCTTCCCAATGGATGGGTTAGGGAGATTGGGCCATGATCCACCACGCGGGCCCAGTGCGACTTGGTGGGTGTTAACGACTGCAGATGCAGCCGGGACCAACGGCTTAACGTGCCTTTATGTATCCCATAACACAAGCCTATAGTGCTTACTTTGGGGCTAGGCTAACTGATTTGAGTGTTGGAAATATTTATTTATATTATTAGTCCATTGTTTATTAATAAAGTAGTACAAGTATTATTTTTCAAATGACGTTCAAGATATTCCAACTTACCGATTCGGTTTCTCGCGTCGAGGTATGCTTGGTTGACGGCATCGTAAGTGATGCAGGTGTGTTGACCCTCGTATCCGCTGTAACAATGTGAGCACATTATTCTCTGATCAATGAAACATAAATCCATTTTAGCCACTTTGTCACAATTGCCTAGGCTCAGATTACAGAACAAAAGGCAGATGGAGCGCACGGAACACGCAATACGTGGCACCAAAGCAAATACGAAGTCAAAAATAAATATTCTTTTTTCTATGTGAACAGTTTTAACAATGTTTGAACAAGGCGACACAGTTTTGAAAAAAACTTAATATTCACGGTAAGTGTTCACAACACGATGCGTTTTAGTGTTAGTATGGAAGCGACTTGATATTAGCTTTCTGACGACCTCCGTGGCCGAGTGGTTTGTACGCCGGGTTTCATGGTGTTGCCGACTCGAGAGGTCCCGACTTCGAATCCCGATGGGGGTAGATGTTTGTGTGATGAATCGAACATTTGTACTCCAATCATGGATGTTTAATATGTATTTCTATATAAATATACTTATATATGTACAGTATATGTATTCCATCCGTTACCCTAGCATCCCATAACACAAGCCTTACAGTTCTTACTTTGGGGCTAGGCTAATTGGTGTGAGTGTTGGAAATATGTATTTATTTATTTCGACTTCGTATTTGCTATAGTGCCACGCATTGCGTGTCCCGTGCGCTCCATCTGCCTTTTTTACTGTAAACTGAGTGCCTAGATACTAAAATATGGAATCATGAGTTGGGTTTTCAGGGGTACTTTTGTAGAAATAATAAATAAAATTATTTTAATTTCAGATTTTAAACAGTATTCGTGTATATTTATGTACTTGCATTCTTCTTGTCCGCTATCCAAAAAACTGTGTATAGGCAAGGAAACATATTTAGAAAATAGCGGTTAATTTATGCAATTTTAATTTTTAGAAAATAAATATTGTATTATAAATAAAAATGTACCGCAAAAATCTACCAGGTTTGAATACCATACTCCGTGGTTTTCAAAGGCATTGATTCGTATTTTTAGAAACAAAAATAAAGCGTGGATCAAATGGAAAACATTAAGAAATATTAGTGATTACGCCGCTTTTTCCATGTTTATAGATAGTTTTCCTAAATAATCCTCTTTATGTTATAAAAAGTATATGGATAATGTTAAAAAGCATTCATGACTATATCAAATACTTTTGGTCTTAAGTTCACAACTTAAACAAAAAAGGCAGGGTTCCCAAATTTCATGTCGTACAAAGACCATGCTACAAATAATCCAAAAGTAATACTGCATTCGTATTCTTCTTTTTTCCAACCGGTTTTTGAACCACGAAATAACGTAAATGAGTATGATATTCATGATTTTTGTGATCCTAATTCTGACTCAAGCCTTAGGATTAACTAAATGAGCTTAACAAGTTAGATATTTCTATAGACCCTGGCTTAGATAATATTCCCCCTATATTCTATAAGCTAACATCTAAAACCATATATAATCCACTTCACCGTGTATATGTCGTGGCCATATCGTAGATTTGCTCATTTCATGAAATGCTCGAGTATTTCATGAAATGGTCGCATTTCATGATGTGGCCAACTTAATTTGAGCAGATCATTAAATCGTCAACGTTTAACGATTTTGTCATCCACATTTGGCTGGATCGTATAATTAGGGTCTCCATAAAATATTTAATAAAAATCCAGAATATGTTAAGAACTTGTATATTGTCATTTGAGTCCGAATGACACAAACAAATTGCATCATATTTTTTAAGAAAATACACAAATCAAAGATTTTTCTAAATTAAACATCAACGTGTCATGTAGTTACACAAATGTAAACGTCATTTACATTTAGAAAACTAACAAATATTTAGAAATAAAAAGGGACTTTGGTACATATTGCAATAGTAGGTTTGATTCTCATCCGCACTTTTTACTTCATCCGCAGTTTCCGAAATGTCATATTTTGGCAGCCAGTAATAGTCCATGGATTTCTTTTGCGTAGTCACCCTACTCTCCTTAATTTGTTTCATAACCTAAAAAAGAAAAAACATTACCTTTATTATGTCATAATTCACAAACGAAGAATAATATTAATTTAATAGAAACACAATACGTTAACTGGCATAAAGTATTTTAATAAAATAAGTGAATAATGATGTAATTTAAGAGTAAAGTACTAACCTGTGTAATGCGATCCAACCCACGGTTTTTTTACATTTTACTCAGTTTTTGCTTAACTTGATTAGTACTCGAGAACCTTTTCGTCGAAAACCCTTTTGTTATCACTTTCTTCCTCATTTAATAACAAATTATGCACTTTATCACTGCAAGAAACAACATTGTCGGCAGCGGCCGCCATTTACAAATATAAACAAAGCGCTTGCAGCGCCTCTACCGGTAACTAATTTAACAATTTTACGATATGATCAAATAATTTTGGCCATTTCATGAAGAAGCCGCGCGTTTAGTTGGCCATATCGTGAAACGATTTCTCATCATTGATCTGCCCAAACCACATCATGATGTGGCCAATAGATAGTGAGACATTTCATGAAATGCGACCATTTCATGAAATGAGCAAATCTACGATATGGCCACGACATATATAATATGTGTTTGCATTTAGGCACATTCCAAAGTGTGTGGAAACGCGCGCGAATTGTTTCTGTTTTCAAAAATGGGGATAAATCTATATAGAAATACATATCAAACATCCATGACTGGAGTACAAAAGCTCGTAGTCATCACACAAACATCTGCCCGCACCGGAATTCGAACCCGGGACTTCTTGATTCGGCGACACCATGAAACCCGGCGTATAAACCACTCGGCCACGGAGGTCATCAAAATGTATCGAATTACCGTTCTATATCAATTTTACCCACTCTTTTTGGGCTTTTTGAGAGACTTGTACATAATCGTAATTTATCCTGCTATGCATAAATACATTATCGAACAACAGTACGGTTTCGTATAACGTCGTTTTACAAATACTAACTTGCTCAATTTTATATCTTATTTATTTGATGGTTTATATAATACTAAATAAATCGACAGTGTATACACCCATTTCCAAAAAGCTTTTGACAGGGTGGATCGTAAAATCTAGTTCGATAAATTAGCCTACAAAGGAATACGCGGCGTTTTGTGGCGTTGGTTCTAGTCGTACATTACGAGTCGCACACAAAAGGTTGGTATCCGAGGTTACGAATCAGACTCTGTACCAATAACATCTGGTGCTTCACAGGGATCTATACTGGGGCCCTTGCTGTTCATATTATTTATTAACGATGTCCACCAATGCTTTAATTTTTGTAATTTTCTACTATATGCTGATGATCTTAAAATAAGTATATCACACAATTGGCAGCAAGGATGACCATAGTAGATTCTAAGAAGATTTAGATCATCTCTATATGTATTGCTGTGAAAATAAGCTGAATTTAAATTTAAGTAAATGCAAAACAATCACATTCATTAAACGGAAAATATAAGTAATAATTCTTATAAATTGTGTAATGAATATTTTAAGTCTGTTAAATTGATAAGAGATCTGGGGGTAACTTAAGATAACTAACTTAATCTGGATATACATGTTGACAATATCATAGCCAAAGCATTTAAAATTCACTCGCATTACAAAGCCATACGGCCAGCATACGGCTTTAAAAGAAACGACGTTTAAAAGAAAAGTACTTAAAACTCTTAATTAATTAAATAAATCAGAAATTGTATTGAAATTTATGTATAATAGGCCAAGAAGTAAATTAATAGTAAATTTAAATTAAATGTATAGTCTCCCAATGCTAATTACTGTAAGAAACTCTATGTAGTGGATGATACAATTACTACACTGGTAGTACTAGTTTGAAAAGTAACAAGATTGTATCATGTTTTTTTTACTCTAATAAAGAGAAAAACTCTCCTTCCAAGGAGAATCAGTGTATAAATAAATACACACTTGTTTAAAGCAATTACCCTCGTGGCCTACATTGTTATACACGAGCTAGCAACACGGGTCAAGAGTTCAGTTACTCAAGCCGATCTGCCCGTTGATATCTCGTTACATAATGGAAACCACTCATAGATTCCCTTTGGAAATTACTTCGAGTAAAAGTGAATGCTCATCTTTACTTATTGCGATCTCCATAGCCGATAAGCGAGCGCACCTGATGTGGTGATATTTATGTAAGTACCTCCGTCTTTGGATTATTGACTTGAATTATGAGATGTATGCGTAGCGAATTCTTCACTGGAATTGGAGCGCCCGTCTGAGGAAGTAACCTCCACCTTACAGAAGATAATACTCTCTGTATACAATCTCTTGGTGGTGTTGTGTTTTTGTCGGTGAGTAAAGTTCCAGGGCTCCACGGGAAAGGGATTGGGTCAGGGTAGTTAAGTAAAGGCTTCAGTGATCGAGTTTGTACCGACAAAGTGAGAATTACCTATTGTAGCGTGGCACATTATTCCCCAACTGGATTCTGGTTAAGTGTCAACATCAGGTGGGGCATCTTGGCAGCATTATTGTTACTATTGAGATTTCTTATCTGCAATCGGTATTTTAGCCATAATCAGTTCTGTTTTCTGTTCCGTGATTACAAATTTCCCAGGGACATTCCACTGAATGGCGCCATAGAGAGGAGATATTATTTAAATTCTGTGATCAAGTAATAGTTAAGTCATAGGTTAAGTATATTTGAGTAACATAACTTATTATTATGGATATTTATTGAAGGAGTATTCATGAAACAAATAGTTCAAAATACTTTAAAGAGTTCTGATAGCTATTAGTGCGTTTTTAGTTGTTTTTGGAGCGAAGGTCTTTTTCGGATGGTATGGCGGATGGGTGAGACGAAAAATTTGTAAGATTTTTCCGTCATAAACTATCGAGGCAGCTAGCTAGGCAACTAGGTGGATAGCTAGATGGGCGACAACTGACAGCGGTGCCAGTGGACTTGGTTTAATGTTTTGTTTAAAAGTTTGACAGAACCGGGGGATAGGATCATGACCCACCGACCCCTGGTGCGGATTGGTGGATACGATATTATTTTTAAGGAATAGCAAGATATTGAGATTGGTCTGGTATGGCACTGGGACCAATCCATTCTTAGAACAATCCGCACTGGACCCAGTGCCGATAGGTGGGTACGATAGTTTTTTTATGGAATAGGGAAATTGGCTATGGCTCGCCACGCGGGTCCAGTGCGGATTGGTGGGTAGTATATAAATATTTTTATGTGCTTTTTATTTTTTTTAACATCTACATGAAACCAAGTGCTGTAATAAATCATTAGAGTTTCCTTCGCAGTGTCGTAACAGAGTGTTGAATAAGTTAGCCGTTTCCAATTAGATGGCAGGTGAGTAAAACGAGAAAGAAACCGGTAACA